CTTGGACATCTCAAACAAGGATATTCAAAATAATAAAAGGACTGTGGTTGCTTAGGGCCAGATACTTGCAACCCTGAACTTAGCCATACTAATATTCCTCTCTCACACCAAAATCGAAACAACAACAACAACAACAAAACTCATAAAACCACCCTACAATTTAATTACAAAAGAGAAAAATTGTTGAGACAGGGTCTTATGTAGCAGGCTGGCCTTGAATTTGATATGTGGTAAAAGGTGACCTTGAATTTTGAATCCTCTTGCTTGTACCTCCAATGCTAGGAGTACAGGCACACATCAGCAGACCCAGTTTATGCCATCCTGATCGAACCCAGGGCTTCACGCACTTTATGAAAGAGCTCCATCAACTGAGCTACATTCCCCATCTGAAGAGTCCAGCAAGCCTCCAGGGAGAGACCTGACTGGGCTGGCAAGGTAATGAAGAAAAACAAACAAACAAACAAACAACAACAACAAAAAAACAGATGGACACACTGACAGAAAGCGAGGATCTAGTGGTCTGGACTTTCAGATGGAGAAACGGCAGCAAGCACAGGGTGTTTGTTATATAGAGTTGAACAGAGAGTGAGTGTAAGGGTCATTGTACACAGCTGAACAAGGAGACAGAGTCATTGCATACAGATAAACAAGGAGGCAGGGTTTATAGCATACAGCTGGATCAAGGAGACAGGATTAGCTAATCTCAGAATGAGCAGGCTCTGTAGTCAAGTGGTCTTAAGGACATAGGTATCTAAGGTGTGTGGGAGGGTAGTTAATGGGGGTGTTTTCTACACACACTCTTCTCATCCACACGAGGCTAGAGGGAAGATTTGCCATTCCCCTCTGGGTCCTTGACATGGCAGTGCCGACATCAACAACACACATTCACTCAGTACCTCACGCACTCAGAATTTCCTACCGCAGCCTCAAGGAAATGTTGTAAGTTAACTAAATTAAGTAAACCGTATGCATTTTAAAGTACTTATTTTATTGTTTTTAGTATATGTTTGTGTACGAGTATATGCATGTGCATGTAGGTGACCTAGGAGGCCAGAGGAAGATTTCAGATCCCCTAGATAGCTGGAGTTACATGAAGAAGTTGTGAGCTCTCAGACATGGGTGTTTGCAATCAAACTCAGGTCCTTTGCAAGAGTGGTAAGCATTCTGATTCAGAGCTATCCCTCTGGGTCTCTAGTCAACCATGCACTTTTACATAATCTTAAATTTTGCTTCATCTGTAACCCTTGTTGTAAATCATAATGTAGTTTAGAAAGGCACAGAATTGTATGAAGAGCTGTTGTGAAGACACAGAAGCATCGCTGGCTGTTGAGAAGTTGCTATCCACACTTGGATATGCACCTGTCTTTCTCCTGCTTGTCTCTGTCCCCAAAAGCTCATGCCTTAAATCTGGCCTCTGTTGGCCTGTTTTTTGATCACTTTCCCCTGGCAGGGCTGCCTTGCCTGGCCTCAGTGGATGAGGATGCGCTCAGTCTTGATGAGACCCGATGGGCTGGGATGGGTTAAGGGGGAACTCCCCTTTTCTGAGGAGTATGAAAAGGGAGATAGGGGAAAGCAGAAGGGATTACGGGGCTAGGAGGAGAGGAGGAAGGGTGCTGCAACCGGGATGTAAAGTGAACAAATAAATGAAAAAATATATTGGAAAAGGATGCTCTCTGTCTTTTTTCTTCTTTTTTTATTATTTAATTTTATTTTTTTTTTCTTATCAGTTACATTTTATTAACTCTGTATCCCAGCCGTGTCCCGCTCCCTCATTCCCTCCCAATCCCACCGTCCCTCCCTCATCTCCACCGTGCCCCTTTCCAAGTCCACTGATAGGGGGGGACCTCCTCCCCAATCATCCGATCCTGTTTTATTGCTCTCTGTCTTTACTTCACTCTGAGAGCAAGATAATGCGCCACAATGGAGACATCCTCATGACAAGTGTGCAAGGAGACGGAGACCCACCCGCTAAAGGCAGACCAGGCTGGGGGTCAATCACAATCCTCTGAATTCAACTGCAAATCACCTTCTCTTCCTTCCCTGTCACTCTTTTCTTCCCTTTTCTTTTATTCTTCTCTCATACATTGCATCTCGATCACAGTCTCCCTTCCCTCCTCTCCCCCTTCCAGTCACTCTCGATTCAGCTAACAGCCCCCCAAAACTCACCTTCTTATCCCTCCCTCCCCCCCAGCTAGGCCATGTAACCCAGGCTGGCCTAGAACTTACAATCCTCCTGCCTTGGCCTCTGGAGTGCTAGGATCACAGGTGTAAACTACCATACCCAATTCATGTTTCTCTTCATCACTGGCCTCTCTTCTCTCCCTCACTTCCTGCTTTTCTAGCCCCCTTTTTCTTAGTGGGGGGGGGTCAATTCTGAAATAAGGTCTTAATGATGCCTGGCTAGCCTCAAACTCGCTGAAGATGACCTTGAATTTCTGATCCTCCTGCCACCTCCCAAGTGCTAGGATTAAAGATGTGCAATGCAAGCCCTTTCTTGGCTAGACCATAAGTTATCCTGATTTATAAACACTCTGGCCGCTAGGTGAGTGGCCATCCTAAGCCATCCTCCAAAACATTGTGAGTTTTTAATAATATAATTTCCTTTTTCTCTTCTGTCCCATCCCCCAACCAGCCAGGCTCAGCTTTGAGCACACTACTGGTTTCCTTGGCAACCACTTCCAGTTCCCACTCTAGAGTCTCTTGTTTTCCTATTCTCTCCTCTCTCTAGCTGTGGAAGTCAGGAGGAGCTCTCCTGTTTCCAGAAGGGAACTGCTTTTCCCTGGCCCCTGTTGGGGACTTGCAAAGTGATCAGTGCCTAGGTAGCCCATGCCAGGCACAGCTATCTGTGTTCCCTGCTCTTCCTAACTGCACATAAAGGCCTTTGAAATACTGTTGAATTTCAAATCAAGTATTCACAAGATGAAATGTGTTCCCTGCTCAGAGCTGAACAGACTGGGTAGGTATGGATTTTGGAGCCAGCCTGGCTTGAAATCCTGATTCGGATACACATCTGCTATGGATCTTGGAAATTAATCACTTGGAGCTTGTTTCCTGTCTTTAAAGCGAGAATGGAACATACAATGAGCTTTTCTGAAGATAGGTGTGTGTGTGTGTGTGTGTGTGTGTGTGTGTGTCTGTGTGTCTGTGTGTGTGGCGGGGCTGCCTCAAACAGTAGCTGATACACGATAAACATTACGTAAGTGTTACTGATGAATATTGTTGTTACCACCCATCTGTCCACTCACCTTGACATTTTGGCTAAACCAGCAATTGTCCTGGGATTCTGTGAATGACAAACTCTTAGGAGCCACAGGGGAGTATATGCTTTTGATATGACGCCTCTTCAAGTTTTTTTTTTTTAGTAGTTTTATCTTTTGATATTATAATATAATAACATCATTTCCCTCTTGCCCTTTGTGTCTCAAAATCCTCTCATGAGAGCCTCTCTTTGAAATTCATGGCCTTTTTTTTAATTGTTGTCATATATTTGTATGTACATATATTCCTAAGTACGTGAGTACAACCTTCTCAGTCTGTACAGTTTTACTTGTGTGTATGTTTATCAGGTAATAGATAACCAGTTGGTATGCTTTGCTTTCTATCGCACTCAGTATTCCTAGTTGCCAGTGCTTTGTCTACAGTTGAGGTTTCCTGGGGTTTCCCTCAAGTTCCTTCTAAGGCCTGTGCCCAGGGGCAAGGCCCAGATTCTGGGCTCTGGCTTGATGCTCAGCATCTAGTTGGCCATGTGTCAGGAACCTTGGCTGGAGGGACTGCCCACCATTAACTGGGTATGGAAACTCAAGATGGTACTCAGGCCCCAAAGCCAAAGGCCTTTACACTTCCAAAACCTATACAAGACCAAGGCTTTGATTTTCTAGTATGACTCAAGGCAAATGAAGCTGTCTCATTGGACGTGTTAAGCTGAGCAGCCATCACTAGTGAGAAACCTGGGACTGCCAGGCAACTGTTCTGAGTGCCTTTACACAGACACAGACAGTATATTTTTCTCTTTCAACCCGGAGGGGAAAAACAAGGCATAGGGATACGAAAGAACCTACACACGGTTATGCAGCTGGTGAATGGCAGAGCCAGCAACACAGTTCAGCCTGATCCGCAATCCAGGGACTGACTTCCTATGCGCCACATTGCCTCACAGGACAGCAGGGCTCTGGCAGGGACAGCCCTCATGCCTGTGCCTATGCAGATGACTTCCTGTCTGGATGCAGAAATATGAGCACTGGTGTAAAAGGAGGCAGAGCTAGTGCCGCCGCACCACGCACAGGGTTGCCAAGGCTAACACCATGGCCTGCTGGGATTGTAGGTAATTAGTTTTGATTAGTTGAATCATTTTCCAGCAGTTCAGAGAGTTCAAATGAGGCAGGATAGAGGGACAGGGAAGATTAAGAAGAGATGGGAAGAAAAATGAGTCCCTTACCACTGGTGAGAAAAAGAAATTCTCATATGCAGGATTACAAACTATGTTTTTGGTAACAACAACAGCACAAACAAACAAACAAACAAACAAGCAAACAAAAACATATGTCTTGAGCCACCTAGGTAGTTGTAAGTGAGGGCACAGTGAAACCACTGAACTCGACCGACCACTCTGTGGACAGAAAAAAAAGAAAGCTTCCTTTGGGGAAGTTCAAAGCTGCCATTGCTACCTCTTGGGGGTGTAGAGAATAGCCAAAGGCTTTGGGTCAAAACCGAAGCTGCTGGGGCTACCTCTCAGGGACAGCAAGAGTAGCAAATGGGTAGCAAAGGCCTTGCCAATTATAAAGGAGGGGGGGGGTGGCTGCAGGAAGAGAGGTCTGCAAGCCAAAACAACCTGGAGGTTTAGAATAGCGTGGGGGAGGTGAGATGACCCCGAAAGCTAGTGTGGGAGCTTTCATATGTGTTACAGGCATGTGCTAATAGGGAATCAGGTGCCTCATTTGCAGAAGTTGCCATGGGAAGGGAATTAGTGTCTCCTCCTGAGAACAGAAGCAGGTTCCTGAGGAATGCTGAAGGTAAGTAAGCTTTTTGTCTATCCGCCAGCAAGCCTTCTGTTTATCCTGTCGGAGTCCAGCCTGAGCTGAGCCCAGACTGTCATTTTGGGACATTATCAGTGCCATTTTAGAGGGTTTGAGACAGTGAAATCAGTGCCATTTTAGAGGGTTTGATAACTGTGGTGTGAAGCCAGCCTGGATTATTTAGACTTTATGTCAAACCTGACACAACAGCAACATCAAACCACTTAAGAACAGCACCCAAGATAAAATTAACAACAAATGACAGGTGGTCATATCACCCAGCTGGGCCTCACCCAGCTCCTAAGACAGGAGCAGCCCTGGGACAACTGCCAAACGCCTGACCCACTGCATCCCTGGGCCCCAGTATACTTCGAAAGGGTTTGAACAACCCCAGAAGGGCTGAGGTGTGCTATTATGGGCAGAGGACGGGACCTTGGACACACTCCACCCAATATCCCCGTCCCTGGGTCTCCCATCCCTGGGTCTCCTTGTAGCACGAGTACTCCTTCCCTTGGGAAATTGGGAGCCAAGGGAAGAACGCCTCAAGACCTAGGAGTGTGAGAGCCGCCTGTCCAGAGATGGGACTCTTCGTGATTTTAGGAGTCTGGGGCCTTGCCTAGGCAGACTCTCATGACAGCCGAGTCAGAAGCTTTTGGAAGCTTAGCTTAGGGGTGTATTGTGTGGACATCAGAAGGCTGTGAAGCAGCTGGCTAGAGAAGAGAAGAAAATGGCCCTTGTCCCTGATGTAGGGGCCCTCCTTCCTGTGAGGGACTGGGCACAAAGGTGTCTATCTCCCAGCCTCCTATCTCTCCAAACCACAGCCCAGAGGTGTGAAAGAATGAAAAACAACAGGGGGAGGGGAGGCAGAGTTGAGCCAGGTGCACATTTCACACCTTGACCACTGGTGGGGCCCCAGGCAGCTTCACTCTGACTAACTTCCTCCTAGTTCCTCTCTGCTGCAGAAGAGGGAGGGCCCAGAGACCAGAACACAGGCCGGGAGCTTCTGGCTAGGTAGCTGACTCTGGCCTAGTCTTGGGATAGAAAACTACCAAACTGAAGGCTAGGTGAGAGCTTGGCTCAGCACTGTGACACAGGAGACTTCCAGGGTATCTCAGCTGCAAACAACAGCTGATGCCCCACACTGAAGTTTTGAGGCTTGGGAGCTGGATTGGCAGCAGAAGAGGGGGAGTGAGCTACATATTGGGCACCCATCTTTGTCACATAGTATCTATACGTAGGCGGTACAGTCCACAGGGCAACTCCATCAAATGTATATGCTATCCTTAGACCCACTCGTCAAAGTGAAGCAGAGAGATGAACTGCTTTCCCAGGGTCACATAGCAGGGCAGCCAGGGAGTTTGGCTAGGACTGGCAGAGCTCCTCTATCAATCGAGGACAGGGTCCAACCACTTTTATGGAGAACGAGTCCTCTGGCCCTGGCGACAGCCACACTCATATGTGCCCTAAGCCACTACCCTCTATCGTGGGCTCCCTTGGCACCGAAGATTCTAAGCAGCTCTGGTTTGGGGGTCTATATGTACTCACCTTGGGCTCGTAGCTGCACCTGTGCTAATCCCTTGGCCCAGTGCTAGATGCCTAAGCCTGCGGTTATCTCAGCTCATCTTAGAACAACTCTGCTGAGGGAACTGCCTGGGTATCATTCTGATCTGTCCATGATCACAGAGGATGGCAGGTGGAACTAGGCCTGGAGTTCCACAAGCTCAGTGTTCTGCCAATTGCATGACAGCTGTGCAAGTCACTCAAGAGCAGTGAGAGAGAGGCTCACCTGGTCTATCAGGACCCAATCCTGACATCTGGCTGTCAGGCCTCAGAAAGGAAGGCTCTACACACCTGACCTTCAGGATGGTATTCCTCCCAGCAACCTGGGAAGGTAAGGATCATCTTCCCTAGACAAATGAGAAGACTAAGGCCTAGGAAGGAGACTAGGCGTCCCTATACCTATACACTTCATATAGTGCAGTAATGGGTCAGCAGACACTGGGAAGACACACACTTGATTGCCAGCTTCTGCCAACACAAGTTATTTCTAAAATGACCATCTGTTTTCACCACCACTGCTTTCATAAAGCAAAAGTCCCCTTTACTCTCAATAAAATGGGATGAGGAACACAATGCCAGACTAAGGCCTTGAAAATGAACAAGTATACAACCTTTGCAGTTATTTTTCTCATGTGCATAAGTCACAGACAGGCCTGGGGAAACCATGGTCTTAGTGGGCACGGAAGGGATTTTGTGGTGTTTCCCAGGCTTCTGTCTTCTCTGCCTCTACAGGCAGTTAAGTGCCATGTCTTACACATCCTGACTGGCCTGGCCTCAGGAATCCTCTTAGTCTGCTCCATTCACCGAGCTCTTGACCTCCTCCAAGACCTCTGTTCCCTTTGACCTGCGAGCTCTTGACCTCCTCCAAGACCTCTGTTCCCTTTGACCTGCAGGTGACAGGCTTTTTCAGAGAAGTGTCCCACCTGTCCACAGGAAGAGAGGGGCATTACGTTTTTTTCAGGTGCATGCTATGGCAATAAGCCTGGTCTGAATTGGGGGAACAACTTGCTTGAAATCTAAGCATCAGGCCACTGTGGTGGCTTATACCTGTAATGGCAGCACTCAGGAAGCTAAGGCAGGGTTAGGGTCATGAATTCAAAGCCATCCCAGGCTATACACACGTCCTTTTTTCAAAAAGAATCACATTTAAGTCAGGTATGGTAGCCCACAACTTTAATCCCAGTACTCAGGAGGCAGAGGCATGCAGATCCCTGAGCTGGAGGCCAGCCTCTTGAGTTCTAGTCTAGCCAGTGTCACATAGCCAGTCCCTGAAGAAAGACTTACACAGTCCTGACTTCCACTACCTGGCACTGATGCCTGCATGCTTTTGCTTGCTGTGGTGATTTCTACCATGTACATAGGTGGAACCAAAGTATATACAATATTCTTTTACCTGCCTCTTCCATCATCTAGGCATGGGCTCCTCTGCATTTAGCCTCATGAAAAATAGGTAGATCTCCATTTGGTTTTACCTGGACGAATATATCAGTTTGTCCATTTAAAAGACAATGGACTATGTCTCCTCCTGCCAAATGCTGTGAGAAATGGTGGGCTCCTGTAATCCTAGCACTCAGGAGGCTCAGCCAGGTAGGATGCTGTGAGTTCAAAACCATGTCGGGCTACAGAATGAGACTGTCTTAAAGGACAGTCCTAGACATATTTGGTTATTTGTGAATGGTATTGGGTAAGACAAGAACCACAGACTCGGTAACAGTCCCAATAATTTTAAGACTGCTAACATCCTTTTCTGAGCACTCAGATGGGTCTGTGTCCCAGGCACAACTGCGGGACAGACCAGCACGTAGTCCAGGTTGCTGAGCAGTGAACAAGAAGTGTGATACAGAAGCACTTCTTGCACCTGACAGCAGGGCTGCCCTCTACTTCCCCTTGGTGTGGCTTTAGACCTCTGCTCTATCCTCAAAGAACCTCCACCCAGCCACCCCAGATGCTTCTCTAGGACCCAGTCTTTCTTGCTCTGTCACCAGATAGAACTCCGTTACTCCTGTTGTCCTAACAGTTGTGCGCTTGTTTTTGACCCACAGTCTCGGCTCCCAAACACTGGGTTCTCACATATTTCCCCAATTTCTGAGCATGCTCCTGACCAGTTCCATCTAGTCTGGACACCATACGGACATTGCAGATGTCCTTGGGCTCATTATAATCCCATAATGATTTTATATGTACATATCCACCAATGTCAGGTCAAATCCAATCAGCCTCAAATTAGGGGAAAAAAGAGGTGGTGTGCTGCTCTTGGAAATGTCTTCCCTTCCTATGCAGTTATGATGGCCAGTATTCATACCATATCCCACTCTAATCCAGTCCTAATGAGACTCCAATCCCAGCCTTGCTGGGGAGAAGGTGGCTTCCCTTCTCCAGTCTCTGCCATCAAATCACACTTCCTGCCTCTTCCTAGACATAGTTAGTTATCTGTGAATGGTATTGAGTAGGACTAGAACCGCAGACTTGGTAACAGTCCCAAGTTCCTGGCTAGCTCCTTCCAAGTATATTTACCTCGCCACAGGAGTGGCAGAAAAGGGACCCCGTGGAGGGCTGGTGTAGATAACCCCTTGGAAGAGGCTGTGCTGAGCTGTGAAATCTTCACTTCCTCTGTTCACAGCAAGTTCCCAACCACAAGTGCCAAAGCAGAGAAGCAGGCAGCACTGAGCCTGATCCCAGCAGCAACAGCCAGAGCACCAGCCTAGCCATGTACCTTGAGGTAAGTTCTGCTGTCCAGCTCAGCTACATTACAGTGTCTGATACCAGGGACAAGGCTGGCTGGCCCGAAGCCATGGGGCACCAGAAGACTGAGTAAGCCACAGGGAGGGCAGAGGTTAGGATAAGAGCAGTAGTGGGATTTGGGAACCTAGTCTGGCCACTAACCACAGGCATGTCTCCTGCTTCTGTGGCTTGGATGCCTTATCTAAAAATGTCAGTTCTTAGAGACTCAACTTTGGTGATCTCTAGCTTTTGGGTAGTTTAGGATGGGGTGAAGGGGCGAACGGTGAAGAAGATTCCTTCTATCTGGATGACTGGTACTTCCATGTTGTCCTAGCTACTTGGGAGGCAGAAGCAGAAAGCTCAGGTGAGCCCAAGAGTTTGAAATCAAGCCTGGCCATCTTAATGAAACCAATTAGGGCTTGGGTGGGGAGCTCAGAAGGTGCTCAAATGGTTGCACAAGACTCTGGGTAGGGGAAGGGAAGCAAGCATGCTGTGTGGAGGGGTACACTGTGGTTTGTAGAAAAGCCTTATGTGAAGCCAGAAAGTCAGGTCACCAGAGAAGGGCTGAGGGAGGAAAGGAGGACCAGGGACTAGAAGGTGGAGCAGGGAAGTACCTGGAGAGGCATGTGGTTGATCCTGGTGCGGCCATAGCATTGAGGCTGACAAGCCACCAGGAGTGAAGATTAAGGGAAAGAATGGAAGGCTCCAGGCCCTGGAAGAAAGTTCCTCCTCCTGCAGGATGCCTGCCCTGTGTGAAGATAACCCGAGGGTCCAGGGGTTGCCCTCCTGTAAGAAGGGGAGTCACCTTCCCAGTCTGAGTAGATGGAGTTAAAGAGGAATGGGCCTGGGACAGGTTGATAGCTCAGGGTTTGGCCCAGAAAGAGCTGTTACTAAGGGAAACACCCATCAGAGTAAATGACAAGGCACAAAGGGTCAAGACAGTGAAATCAAGGCCTTGATGGAGACGGCCTTCCTTTCCTCTTTCTCCCTTCCTCGGGCAGGTTAGTGAACGTCAAGTGCTAGATGGTTTGGACCTTGAATTTCTTCTGGAAAACAGCACCTCTCCCTATGATTATGGGGAAAATGAGAGCGACTTCTCTACCTCCCCGCCCTGCCCACAAGACTTCAGCCTGAACTTTGACAGAGCCTTCCTGCCAGCCCTCTACAGCCTCCTCTTTTTGCTGGGGCTGCTAGGCAATGGAGCAGTGGCTGCTGTACTGCTGAGTCAGCGCACCGCCCTGAGCAGCACAGACACCTTCCTGCTCCATCTGGCTGTAGCTGATGCACTTCTGGTATTGACACTCCCACTGTGGGCAGTGGATGCTGCTGTCCAGTGGGTTTTTGGCTCTGGCCTCTGCAAAGTGGCAGGTGCCCTCTTCAACATCAACTTCTATGCAGGGGCCTTCCTGCTGGCCTGTATAAGCTTTGACCGCTATCTGAGCATAGTGCATGCCACCCAGATCTACCGAAGGGACCCCAGGGTACGTGTAGCCCTCACCTGCGTTGTTGTCTGGGGACTCTGTCTGCTCTTTGCCCTCCCAGATTTTATCTACCTATCGGCCAGCCATGATGAGCGTCTCAAAGCTACCCACTGCCAGTACAACTTCCCACAGGTGGGTCGTACTGCTCTGCGTGTACTGCAGCTGGTGGCTGGTTTCCTGTTACCCCTTCTAGTCATGGCCTACTGCTATGCCCATATCCTGGCTGTGCTGCTGGCTTCCAGAGGCCAGAGGCGCTTGCGAGCTATGAGGCTAGTGGTAGTGGTGGTTGTGGCTTTTGCCATCTGCTGGACCCCCTATCACCTGGTGGTGATAGTGGATATCCTCATGGACCTGGGAGTTTTGGCCCGCAATTGTGGTCGAGAAAGCCATGTGGACGTGGCCAAGTCAATCACGTCGGGCATGGGCTACATGCACTGCTGCCTCAACCCACTGCTCTACGCCTTTGTGGGAGTGAAGTTCAGAGAACAAATGTGGATGCTCCTCATGCGCATGGGCTGCTCTCACCAGAGAGGGCCGCAGAGGCAGCCATCATCTTCCTGGAGAGAATCATCCTGGTCTGAGACAACAGAGGCCTCCTACTTGGGCTTGTAACTCTGGAATGGAACTGTAGCCTGTGCAACCCAAGTCCTAACACACTGCAGTTCTTCTCCTCCTGTGTCTGGGCTAGCTCTGACTCACCCATAACATTGCTGCTGGGACTCACTGGCAGCTCAGCACCTCCAGGTCTCCTGAGAACCACTCTCCCAGCTCCATGCCCAGCACCCTTATTGTGCCTTAGCTGCCACACCCTATTTTGATTTTTCAGAACGTGCTGCCTGAAGCCTCACTACCCTCCTAAATCAGCAAGTAGAATAAAGCCTTGCCCATGTGAGAGGAATAAGAGGCAAAGAGCATAGAGAGCCAGGCCTAGCTCAGCACTGACCGTGGTCCCCAGTATCTCAATATTTGCCCAATTTTATGTCTAAAAACCCTGCTTAAACTCTCAATAAATAAGATAATGAGGACCAGATTGTATTCACAGTCATCATTTGGACCGGGTCTGACTGGACTCTAGTGTGCACTTTTTCCCTCATCCTGACTGACTGTCTCTCTGCCTTCCTGGGGTCTGATGTGCCCTCTGCTGGAACCTGTGCTGCTTAGTGGAGCTGCTAGACAGTCATGAGCTTGGGTGATGTCAGTGAATAGTTAATCAGCTGTCTAGGTACACTTTGGGGCCTCTAGACATTAATGAGCCATAATTCCTGAATCCTAACTGCTCAGGCCAGCATGGAAGGTATGGTAAAAATTAACAAATAATAAGCAGTCCATGGTGCAGAGCAAAAAGGCAACACATGCTTAGTCCAGCACTGGGCATGAAGGCAGGAACTATCTGAGGTGAGTGACATGTCCAGGGTTAAGAGAAGGAAGAGGTGTTGTTTTTTTTCCAAGCAGAAGGAAGGGCAGTACTAGCGATGGAGAGGCTGAAAACAGAAATGCTTTCCGGAGATTACAAGGGGTCTCAGCTGAGCCAGATGTGGTGGTACATACAAGTATTTGGGAGGCACAGTCAGGCAGATCTCTGTGAGTTCAAGGCCAGCTGGGTCTACAGACTGAGTTCTAGGCCAGCCAGGGCTACAGTGAGAGACCTTGTCTCAAGAAAAAAAAATAATCTCAGCTGGCTGGAGTTAAGGGCTTGGGTGGAGGGAAGGACTGAAGATGAAGCTGTAGGGTAGGCTGGGATAATGCAGTGAGCTCGATCGCAGGCCAGGCAGAGAAGGCTGTATTGGTTATTTGGTAGTACAGGCTTTTGCTGGGAAAAATGGGTTTGGAAAAAAAGGTGGGGCAGGGGTGCTGGTTCAGTTTGTAAGAATGCTTGCTGCGCAAACGTGAAGACCCACGTTCAGATCACCAGCAGTTGTGTAAAAGCTGCGTGTGGCCTGTGTGCATGTAACTGTAGAACCGTGGGTTGGGTTGGCTGGCTGTCAGCCTGGGTGTTGGGGAGGAGGTAAGCTCCAGGTTCAGTAAGAGACCCTGTCTCAACAAAATAGGTGGACAGTAACAGAATACCCAAGCATAACAGAATATGCTCCTATGGCCTTCACATACATGTAAACATGTACACAGTATACACGTGCGTGTGCACACACACACATCATGTGCATAGCAATAAGGCTTATGATTCCTTAACAGTTGTTGGTACATTACCACCAAGAAAGAACTGGGCAGCAAGGAGCGTTCTCCACATCTAAAGCTGAGTGGAAAAAAATAACCATTGCTTTCCAGAGGGCAGGTGACAGAACTACCCACTGAACTGTCAGTTTCTCCCAGTGAACTCACAAATGTGCCATGACCCACTCTGACAGGCTGGGACTTACATGAGGCTGCAGAGATGCTGGAGCTTGGGAGAGAAGGAATGAAAGAAGTTAGCTGGAATAGTCTGCCCTGCCATATATATACATATATTTAGCCCCAGCATTCCAGTGAATAATCTACCCCTATACAAAGTAAGAAGCAAGAGGAAAAATGTCAAAATTATATACCCTGATTATAAAAATATCAGTAGTGAAGATAAATATAAGCATTATTTGTAGCAGGCCCTTCCAGACATTCATGTTCCAATTCCCAGAGCTTATGATCAGGTCACCTTTCATGGCAAAGAGGAATAGTCAAGTGTGGAAAGCTGCTTGTTTGTCAGGCTTCTTTGTTATTGAGTTCTAAGCGAAAAATATGCTTTCATCCTGGCCTTTACTTGAAGACAGGGATAGGAGGATGTTTCCCAAGTTCACATCCTTTTGTTTGTGTGAGGATCATCCAAAAAGTGGTTGAGGTAAACAAGTTTGACTTCTTGTTGAACTCCTTCATTGTACTGAGTTGCTTTGCTCAGACTATAAAAAGGGATTGTGGAATAAACAGGTGTGACAGTTTCTACTGGCAGCCCTCTGGAACTGATCCCATGTGTACTGTGTTCTTTTGCTTTTTTTTTTTTTAATATTCTTTCAATCCTCACTCTCCACTCAAGAACTGTTGTACTCTGCCAGCAGGCTCAGCACCCAAGCATGGTACATGCCTATAATCTGAGTACTTGGGAGGAAGGATAAGGCAGGAAGATCAACAATTTGAGACAAGCCTGGATGACTTCACAAATTTGAGACTATCCTGGGGCTAAAAACGTAAAGTCCTGTCTCAAACAAGCGAAAAGAAGGATGAGGTGGCACACAACTCAGCTCTTGGAGGAAGAGGCAAGAGGATTTCTGTGAGTCTGAAGCTAGCCTCATCTAAGTAGCAAGTTCCAACCAGGGCTACACAGTAAAACCCTTTCTCAAAACAACAAGAACAAAAACAAGCCTGCAAACGTGGCAGAAGGAAAATGAGGTTGGTAATCTGTGAACCAACTGATTTTAAAATAAGATCTTGGCAGGTCATAGTGGTGCATGACTATCTTCCCCAGTATTTGGAAGGTGGAGACGGGAGGATCAAGAGTTCATGACCTTCCTTGGCTACGTTAAGTGTTCAAGGAGAGGACCAAGCTAGATGGCACAGCAGTTAAGGGTGCTTGTCACCAAGCCTGACAACCCAACTTCAATCCCCAAGACACACAGGGCAGAAGAGAACTGACACTGGAAAGTTGTCCTCTGACCTCTACATGTATGCTGTGGCATAATCATACACACTGCCCTAAAATAAATGTAATTAAAAAGTGTTAAAGAATTCAAGGTCTGCCTGGGCTATATAAGACCTATCAAAATACTAATAATGAAAATAATAATGATAATTATGGGCTGAAGAAGGCGCTCAATTTGTAAAGTACTTACCATGTAAGCACAATGACCTGAATTTGGTCCTAGCAACCACATAAAAAGCTGAGCATGGTAGTGTGCACTTGCAACTCCAGTCCTGGGGAGGTGTCAACAGGAAGAATGCAGTAACTTAGTGGTTAGCCAGCCTAGCCTAATTGGAAAACCCTACAGCCACATGAGAAACTCTGTCTCAAAAAACAAAGTGGACAGCTGCTGGAATGAAACCCAAGGTTTACCACTGGCTTCCACATGCATATGAACACATGTGCCCTGACAAATACATATACACACAGAGAAGAAGGAAGAGGAGGAGATGGAGGAGGAAAAGGAAGAAGATGATGAAGAAGACGAAGAAGACAAAGAAGCCACTGTCTCTAAGTGAACCCAGTGTCATACACGTATCTATAAAAGTAAAGGGGAAAAGGTGTTTTGTCTTTTAAGAAGCCATGAAACAGGGGCTGTGAGAGGCCTCTAGGAACTGGAAAAGACAAAGAAATGGATTTTCCAGAAAGGAAGGTCCCGTCAGCACCGTTACTGTAACCTAAGTCACTCATTCTAGACTCATGACCTCCAGAACTCTAAGATAATACACTCATGCTGCTCTAAGCCACTAAACCAGTGGTCATTTTCTATGGTTTCCACAGAAATATACAAATACAATTTGGGGTCCAATCCATACCCTCAACAGCTCCCACAGACAGGGAGTCTTCTGGAGTACTTGAATAAGAGAAATGTAAAGTGAGATGAAAATACTTATTTTCTGAATAATTACACAGCGGCTTCACTCAGAGCTATGAGGTTGAAATTCATGGACCAAGTTGGCTCTTCAAGCAAGGACAGTGTGGTAGGCTGACAGTAGCTTAGCCATGAGGCATTCTGCCTGTACAACGTATGCTTTTATGATAATATTCTCAAATTCTCACCACTCCCCCTCCCAGGAAATGGCAGGTTCTTCCGTGTTTTATTCTACATGTTAAAACTACATAGTCAAAGTAAAGACCCAAGGTGGATCCAAGGCGCTTCAAGTATTGTCAAGGGTTGTATGGTTAGCAAAAGAGGTCTTTGTTAAGAACACTCACCATTAATAACAAGTAAGAAAACACGTTAAAACTCAGTATTTAAAGCTTGACAGAAATAGAATTTTCTAAAACTTCTTGTCAGTAAGGGAGTCAGCTCACATAAATACACTCCAGGGCACCCTCAAAGATTTTGTTTTTGTTCACTGGCAAAATAATCCTTGCTGAGTATTTTAATCACATCCCCATGTCTGATACCTACTGTCCCATAAGGCGCTACTCTATAACTTTTCTGCACATATTTGGCAAATGGTCTCACATAGGACACTGTGGAGGATCCATCCTTCAGAAATAATGGCAGCAACACCAGACGCTGTTTGCATCTGGCACAGAAGCATTCAGTATTCAACAATCTGCTATAGCAGCTGACCCTGGTAAGGAAGGAGACACAACACCATAAAAGAAAATCAATCATGATACCTCAACATGAGCTCCAGCTCCTTAGCCTTGTGCCCAAAACAATTTCCCTGGGTTCTGAGGATCCCCAGGCAGCAGCAGGGCCAAACCTGCTCAAATTAGGAGGCAGGGTGGGAGGAATAATAAAGAAAGAGGACACAGAAGCAGTGTAATTCAGTCCTCAAGTCAGACAGTCCATAGGCTTACAGTGGCTACTTGGTCCTGCCACTTGGGAGGATGAAGCAAGAGGGTCACAAGTTCAAGGCCTGCCTGAGCTATACAGCTAGCTTAAGACTAGAACGGAAAACTATACAGCTAGCTTAAGACAAGAACGGATAACTTGTCTCTTTCAAAGACAAAAACCAGAAAAAGAAGACTGGTGATATTGCTCAGGCAGGATGCAATGCATTGTTTGCCTGGCACACATGAAGCACTCAGTTCGATTTCCCACACCAGAAAAACAAACAAAACCAAACAGGTACTGAGGGCTAGAATGACAAAGTAATTGGATAAAATCTGAGAAAGCTCTTACCTGTATTTGTACAGAACACATTCATAATAGATCCTGTAGGTAATTATGTAGTTATGGCAATGGGTGACAATAGGCAGCACCAGGTGTACTGAATTGCATTTTTGAGCATAATACTGCCAAGAGGCACCATGAGAACCCTGGATGCCATCAAGCAGCCAAGAGGCTGCATGGCATGCTCATGGAT